AAAGGGAAAAACCATATCAAAAGCACAGCATTTGAATATCTTTTGATTGAAAAGGGCATGCAGACAATGGAGTGTCAGGCCGAGGAGAGAAGAAAAGGAGAAACGGAAAGAGGTTGAGAGTCAGACAAATAGGGGACCTATGAGAATGGGTTTCTTACAACTAGGTTTTTTGCACATACAGCCTTCACTGTCCAGCCCTGTGCATAGCGCTGGAGTCCCTCAGCAGAGGGGGACAGGAATGGGCTCTGGCCACAAGGCAGATTAAGCAACCTCTGAGGTTGACTTGGTGGACTGCGGCCCAGACAATCATGCCGGGAAGAGGAGGAAGAGAAAAGGAGAGGGTGAGAGAAACTGACATTTATTGAGCACATACTATTGGGAATGAGACTGGGAAAGAAAGAAGATAAAATACACAAAATGGGGGTCAGCCCCGTGGTCAAGTGGTTAAGTTCGCGCACTCCACTTCAGTGGCCCAGGGTTTTGCCATTTCAGATCCTGGGCGTGGACCTAGCACCACTCATCAAGCCACGCTGAGACAGTGTCCCACATAGCAGAACTAGAAGCACCTGCAACTAGGATATACAGGAAGGGGATGAAGGGGAAAAAAGGGGAAAAAAAAGATTGGTAACAGATGTTAGCTCAGGGCCAATATTAAAAAAAAAATACATAAAATGATAGATTGGGGAGAGATGACTGCAGATGCCCGTCTGCTATATCCATCCTCTTCATCATCCTCAATAACCAATCGCTTAGGACAGCCATGTGCCAGGCCTTGGGGCTGGGATTACAGGGGCTGCTTCCTGCCACGGGGGGCTCAGTCTACTTGGGGAGGCAAAACCCAAAGAAATGACAAGGAAGCCACAGTAGCCCATGCTCTGTTGGTGAGTGGATGCCAACCACTAAGTGTGTCAGGGACTGAGGGAGGGATCGCAATGCCCTGGGTTGGTTGAGGTCCCCAGGGAGAAATTGGGCCTTGAGCCTGAACTTAAATACTGGATGGCACTTGAGTGGAGAGGAGGGACAGACAAATTAGTATGGACAAGGCACAGCAAAAAGAACACAGGTGGTGTGTTCAAGGGACCATGACCAGCAGCTTATTCTTCTTTTTCTCCCACTTTGTATTTTGGGGCCCTTTCATATACATTGACTCAGGAAATGACTCTGTTGTCCTTCTCAGGCCCAGCTAAGCCTGGAACAGATGGCCTTCAGTGAGTTCAACAGAATTGAAAGAACTCCTACTATGTGTAATTCATTAAGTATTGTAGAGTATGTGGAAAACTGTGAAATATAGTCCCTGCTCTCAAGGACAGAAAGGATTTTCCTTCTGTCAAACGGCCAGTGAAGGAGGTGTGGGGGTGACTCTGCAGCAGTGAAGCCCTATGTGCGATCAAAGGCAGCGGGCTCTGGGCAGCATGGACAAGTCTACAGTAACCTGGATTCGCTATCTATCGAGATGCTCCATTTGGGGGTGGTCCAAAAGATATTCGTCACTGCACAGTTTATTTCTCAGAATTGGGTACCAGGCTCTGTCCATCTTGTGTCCTTCACATTCTTCTCAGTATATTCCTTCACAAGCACAGATGCTTGTCTGCAAACACTAGTTCAAAACAGAAGCCAAAGAACCTGCAGGTGCACCTATAACTCATCCATAGCGGGGCCACTGAACATCCCAATCAATGGGCAGTCTCAGACTCTGCCATTAATCCTGGAAAGGAAGAGGCACCAAGACAGGAACAAACCAACCAAAATAAGGCAATGCATGTGGGTAACTTCTAAGCTGGTCCACCTTGGGCAAAGGGAAGTCTGGAAAGTTTTACTTGGCCTGAGAGAAACAAAGCAACCTCATCCTGGCCCTTAAAGCACAAGTTAGGGCTGATGGGAGAAAGCATAGTTGAGCATCACTCAGAGCAAACTGAAATACAAACTTATCTTGGGCATCCTTAGTCTGATGATGTGGCTACTTCCATGATGGAGAGCAGCCTATGGAGAAGTTCAGGAACTTTCCAAGTTGCGTGGCAGAGTTGCTACTTACATGACAGAATTGGCAGATGCCTCTCAGTCACTTCATAAAAAGTGAGTTGAAGGAATATTAAGCAGACAACTAGCTACTTGGGTCAGCCAGAGGGCATAAGACTGAAGATTCTGGGTAGTCAGCACTCACTGTGGGATATTTGACCTCCTGCCTCTTCAAATGACTGAAGGCCAAATACATGGTAAATGGGAAATCTCTGGAGCCTTGAGGTTCTCAGCTCTGAATTTTTAGTTGGAAAATCTCTTTTCAAGGCAAAAACTACCAAAGGCTACTTGGAAGTATTCTGAAGAATGAATTCACACGCCCTAACTCTGTAACAGAGGAAGCTACAGATCTCATTTCAAGACAGATGAAGTATAATCCTTGCCACAGGCTAACTCTAGAGGAAGGGACTATACATCCTGGATCAGAGCAGATTCCTCAAAACTGCCAAGCAGCCGCCCCCAGCCCAAAAAAGAAAGAAACAGCCAGCACACAATCTTAAGACTCTTTATTTAAAGAATTATCTCTGAGCCAGGCTACTGTGTAACCAAGCAGGAAAATGCTACTGAAACTTGACAGTTTTGGCTGATGGCCTTCAGTCTTGCATGTTAACAAAAATGGTTATTATCGTTGTTGTTTTTTAACCAAGCAGTCTGTACTTCCACCTTCGTCTTTAAGTGAGAAAATTCCATTAAATAAAACATCAGGCTCCGAAGTGAAGGAGTGAGCACAACTCTTGGTGCATTAACACACCCAAGGCAAGGGGAGGAGCTGTCCAGATAACCACAGCAAAGTGTCCCACAGGAAGACACCATACAAGGAATCTGGGTGGTGAGAAAATGGATGATTTGTCCTCTTATCACTTTCTTAAAGAGCTGCACAATAACTTTCCAAGCAGTTTTTTTTTTCTTTTTTCTGCTTTATCTCCCCAAATCTCCCCAGTACATAGTTGTATATCTTAGTTGCAGGTCCTTCTAGCTGTGGCATGTGGGACAGGGACACCACCTCAACGTGGCCTGATGAGGGGTGCCACATCCGCACCCAGGATTCGAACCAGTGAAACCCTGGGCCGCCGAAGCAGAGGGCGCGAACTTAACCACTCGGCCACAGGGCCGGCCCCTCCAAGCAGTTGAATGATGTTTTAAACATACTGGGTTGCCAAAGCTGTCAAAAGAAATATTTGGATCTAAGAGAATCCAGCAAAGCTATCTGAATGAACACCAACTTTCATCTATTCTAAATGTTAAGATATATTTTGGAATGTTAATTTATAGATATCTGCATACTAGGGGAAAAGGTGTCTGGTGAGCAGACAGGTGACCAAGGGAAAACAGATGAGCTGACAGACAGGTTGTGGATACTGTGTATCCTCCATAATAAAGTACCTGACTCCCTCCATAGCTCACAGCCCTTCCCAGGACAGGTGTGCTGCCAAGTCGCTGCACGAATGTTTCAAATTCCTCAAGTCACAATGTCTCAGGGTAACTCTGGAGATAGAGCCCTCATCCTTAAGTTCTTTCCAAAAGAAGGTTTAAATATTCTCAGGGTCTCCCCTTTATCTATTTTTAACCCAATTAAGAATCTTTTGAGCATTCACTGGTTTCCCAAGATATTGCAATGAAATAGCCATATCCCTCGGTCAGGAATGATTCTGAGAAAAACATCACTATAGCACCAGATTGGACTAGGGAAGCAAGAACTTTGGGCTATATTTCCAACTCTTTCTCTGGCCTGCTGAGTACTGTTTCTTTCTTTGCCCTATTATTTTTTTTCATTCAAAAAATATTAACTCAATACCTACTATGTGCCAGGCTCAATTCTAGGTGTTGTGTCTACAGGACCAAACAAGAGAGATCAAGTTCCTCTCACAAGGCATAAATTCTAACTAGGAGGAACAAACAAATAATTTCAGATAGAGATGAATGCTAGAAAGAAAATAAACAGGGTAACAGAATTCAGTGATGGGGGCAGGATAAAGAGAAGGGGAAGAAAAGCCCTACTTTAGCCAGAGAAGGGCTCCAAGAGGCAGTGACAGCTCTATGGAGATCTGAGTGATAATCCAAAGATCCGAGGGAGAAGCTCTCCAGGTGAAGGGAACAAATACAAAGGTTCTGAGGTGGTAAACAATCAAACAAACTGAAGGAAAGCCTGTGTGGCCAAAAATGAAAGAAAGAGAGTGGATAAAGACAGGTAGGAGAGATGATGGGGGCTGGAGAACCTAGGGCACTGCACATTATGGAAAGGAGTTGAAATTTCGATCAAAGTGAGATGAGAAGGCACTGGAGGGTTTTAAGCAGAAGCTAAGCCATCTCAACCATGGGGCAGACCTAAGGAGGACCAAGTGTATGAAGGATACTACACAGAGAATGCTGATCAGCTTTTCTCTAGAAAGGGGCCTCAGGGCCTAGGGTGAGACATGAGGCACATCTTCAGGTCATCGTGGGTCCAAACATTAATGGGCTGACCGATCCTTACCACCTCCTCTAGCCCAATCCCCCAGTTCTGGAATCCCCTGGACAATATCGTGGACTTACTACATCTACACTTCAAGAGTTCCAGAGACAGAACTCATGCTCCTCTGACAGCTATGCTAAAGTTCTTCCTTGTACTGAGCCAAAATCTGATTCCTTGTCACTTTTACACATCTGCCTCCACATATCCTTCTGGGTTCTACTAACAGCTATTACATCCCAAGAACCCCCTTCTCAGGCAGGTCAGTACCAGTTTTCTTCAGTTACTCATCTAACTTTGTTTTGTATGTGAGGAAGAATAGCCCTGAGCTAACATCTGTTGCCAATCTTCCTCTTTTTGCTTGAGGAAAATTGTTACTGAGCTAATATCTCTGCCAATCTTCCTCCACTTCTCATGTGGGATGTTGCCACAGCGTGACTTGATGAGTGATGCTAGGTCTGTGCCCGGGATCCAAACCTGCAAACCCCGGGATGCCAAAGTGAAGCAAATGAACTTAACCACTATGGCACTGGGCTGGCTCCTCATCTAACTTTTTATTACAGAAAATTTCAAATGTTCACAAAAGCAGACAGAATAGTATTACAAATCTCCATTTACCCATGACCAGCTTCAATAACAATAAACTCATGACCACTTTTGTTCCCATCTGACATTTTGATTTCCTTCACCAATTTAGTCATTACATTTGTCTTACAAGTGTGGTCTGGCCAGCTCAGAGTACTAGCAGCTCACTCATTTGAGATATCTCATTCCTACTAATACAGCCTAACAGTCCTCCTGCATTTGTGGTAGCCACTGTTGCTTCATAATTGACTCAAACTCTCCCACCAGAATTTGTGCAGTAGGATTTTTGGTCCCAAGTGAGAGAATTTATGTTTGTTTCCAATGATTTTCATCTTATCAGATTCAGTCCACTTCTTCAGGTGATCACGATCTTTTTTGGATCTTGATTCTCTAATATTTATTCACCATCCCGCCCAGCATTTGTGACACCTCTAAAATTTTGAAAAGTAATGAAAGCCACCTATAACTTGAATTTAAAAATAGAAAGAATATGAACATGGATAGGAATGCATTAGAAACAGAGTTTAGAGCTGGGAAGGATCAGAGAAAGCCTGTAATTAAACTTCTTATTCTATAGATGAGGAAACTAAGGCCCAGAGAGTCTGTGTCTGGTTCAAGTCCACCCATTAGGTAAAGGCAGGTCAGGCTAGAGCCAAGGCCTTGTGCTCACTGCTCTCTCCACTACCCTCTACCTTTCTAAGTCCTCAGCATGAGGCGCACGATGAGAGAAAATGCAAGTTATCACCACCCAGGCTAGTGTCTGTGGGCCACTGCAAAGTGATTTCTAGTCAACCACTAACAATTACCCACTCATCTGGTAAATAACTATCAGGCATGCTCTCTGCCAGGCCCCACTGCCCTTAATTACTTTCCAAGTTTCTCTCACCCTCAGAGATTAGGTTGGAAATAATTTTTCTCTGCTCTTAATCCCTGCAGTATACAGGACTACATAACTGAATTAGAGTTAGGAAAGTCAAAAACATTCATAAATAATAAAAGATTCACATGTATTATAAATGAGAGATCATTTGTTATTCAAAAAGCCACAAAATATCTCATCTTAAAATATATATATACATCTTAAAAATTCAGCCCTCAAGAATGCTTTTTACAATTGTTTTCATCTGAGAAACAAAGAACTAAAATGGGTAATAATTATAGACACAACTTCAACACAATAATCCGGATAATAGGCAAGAAGCATCACGACGTTTTTCTGAGATTTCTCTTTGTGGTTAACTGACCACACACCAGGGAGAGACCAAAGTTCAGATGTGCACAGCCCAGGGGCCCCCCAACAAAGTGGCAATGCACTCAAGGGGTTTCTTACCCTCAGTAAATGACACTGGGGATGTGGGGGGGCCTGGGAGCTTTATCAAGAAGCGCACAATCCCGCTTCTTATCCAGTGTGTTGCCATCATCAACTGTCAAACCATTTGCTCCTCTTTGCAAGAGGTGCTCCTTTGGAAGGTCCCAATAATTTCTGCTTATATTGTTCGACCAGCTGGTTGAAGCGGTTTTCTGTCTTATTTCCCTTAGCTTTTTTCCTAGGTGCCTACAAATGAAATGCAAGGAAACACAAGATAATCAATTTCAAGCATTAAGTATCACCTTACCCTCAGGACACCCAAGAGAGAAAATAAGTAGGTACAGAGATCTAGTCCGCCGCAAGAGCTAGACTTCCAGTGACTCTTTGAGAGAAAAATCCAGAAAGAATCATCCATCAGTAAGAAACCAGACCAGGAATGCCTAAAAGAAGGGCCCAACTAACACACTGTTCCGAGGCCTCTCCCAAGCTAGCCCCCAAATGCTCACGTGAATCTCCTCACAGATGTCAGCCCAGAGTCTGGATGTTCTGGCTTTCCCTTCTGTCACAAAGAACACTTAGGGGATTTCAGAGATAGAGCTCTGTAAGATAGTGCAGCACGGGTCAGACTTCCCAGGGACACAGACTTCTTGAGTAGGATGGGAAGCTAATGCTTCTTTTACCTTAAAATAAAAGGACTAGGGAAGGGGAAAAGAAAGCTTGACCTCAAATGTTCAAGAATGTAGGACCACCGTTTTCTACTAAAAAGAAATAAGGCTCCTTGGAAAAATGGCTAATGCCAGGCCCAGGGAAGAAATACATAAGATGAGCTGAGCTGTCTGGTTGTATTAGAAAGCAAGGACACTACCGAAGACAGGTTCACATCAGGACTCAGAAGCCTTCTGTTCCTGGAGAGGCTTCTGTTGGCCTCACATGAGACAGGAATAATAACTGCATTTGAGTGAAACACATCAAGTATATAAAAACTCAGGAATTCATAATACTAAAAAAATCTTACTTATCACTATAGGAGATTGGCAGCATATCAATTCATTACTCTGGAAACTGATAAAGAGAAAAAAAATGAAGCATTAACCTGCCTTTCCTATACAAATGGTATTTCATGGTAACCAAATAGTTGACAAGGGAAGGTTCTTTCTTCCAGAATTCTACTAAAAAAATGCGAAAGGACTGATACAATCAGAAAATCACCATTCTGTAACCTGCACTGAACCAATGGATCTGGATAGCAATCATCACTGGGTGCTAAAACCATTAGGTGAGAGGTTGATGGGGACTTCACAGTGGAAGATGAGGTAAACAATCCCTCAACCTAGTGATCAATCTCAGCATCGATGAAAATGGGGCAACCAGACAGTATGTGCCTTATGATGCGATGTCATAGAAAGTACACAGCACTACCTATGAAATCCTCTTGCCAACAAAGTGGAACTTGAATCTAATCAAGTCTCTACATATAACTACCATTTTATAGGCAATACGGGGTGTTACAGGAAAAAGTTCAATGACACCACAAGGAAGCAAGCAGCTAAATTCAAAATTTAACACATTCTAAAGGGCAAATGACCTGGTTTCTCCAACAAATTATCAGCATGGAAAAAAGGGGGGTGATGAGAAAGAGGGAAGATTACAGGGGAAAAAAAGACAAAAGATATAACAACCAAATATAATGTGTGGACTTTGTTTGGATCCTGATTTATATGAACCAACTATAAAAAAACATTTTTGAGGCAATGGGGACATTTTCATATGGGCTGAATATTAGGTGATATTAAGTGATGCTTATTAATTTCTTAGACATGATAATGGCATAATATATACATATGTATGTGTAAGTATTTTTAAGGTCTGGTCAATTGGAGATGCATTCTGAGGTATTTTTCTGAGCAATATACTTCATTTTCATACAAGATGTATTTACATGTGAAACAGTTTGCTTTAAGGTACTCTAGGCCGGGGGGGAAGCACGTATGGGGAACAGGTAAAACAAGGTAATTGTCGAAGCAGAGTAACTGATATATGGGAGTTCACTTTACTATTCTCTCTACTTTAAAACTGTGTACCTCAGCATCCTCAAAAGGTGCAGTCTTGTGTGTAGCTGCAATCCAGAAGCCCTTTTTGTTCAACTAATCAAGGCAAAAAAGTGGCTGCCAGCCCCGGCAGAGTCATGCCATACCAAAGTCTTACACTCTACAAAACTCACCTGCTTAGAAGATAATTTCTGCTTCTCCTGTTTCCACTGGTTTATCTGGGGCTTTGGCTTTTTGGGAGGGAGAGACTTCACTTTGCCTTTGTCCCGCAACCTGAAATAAGACGGTCAAGCAAGGGTCACCCCGAGTTCTTCCTCTAATTGGTACCCCTGAGGTTCTCTCAGCCTGGAAGATAAAGTTCATTTTCTTACACTGGCTCTTTCTAAGCCCTCGATAAGTCATTCTAAAAAGGGAGAGTGCAACAGAATATCCTAAGGCTCAACATTTGTATACTTGTTTTTTCCTTTTGGCTTCAAACCTCAAGAGAATCTCAAAAACCTTCATTTATTTAACAAATATTTTGTAAAGATCAACTTTTGTTCATAGAACTAATTTGCTGCCCCAACAGAAACTGCAAGGAAACATCAAGTAAGTGGGTCTCAGCTGACAGGGGCGGCCATGTGGACAGGAGGAAGCTCTTCAGAAAGGAGAAAAATGGCATGAAAGCCTGCCCTGGAAGGCTCCTCCGAGGTCCCCTCTGCCAGTCATGTCCTGGCTTCCATTGGCCCAAGAGTGACAACTCCGCTGGTATGAAGATACTTGTGCACTACCCTTCATGTGGGACTGGCCCAGCACCAAGCATCCCTTTTATCCAAACAAAAGCCACAAAGAGGAAAAGGGTTAAACGAGAACACACCCTGAGGAGCCACTCAGTGCTCAATGGTACCATCCTGCATCTCACCTAATTTTGGGGCCTCGGTGTGAGGGGAGCACCAGGACCTTTCTTCTCTTCTTTCCATCAGGCAGCTCCACCTGTTCCACTTCGGCCTTGGTCTGGAACCCTGTCCACGAGATGGAGCCCGCCTTCCCCTTCTGCTGCAGGGGAGCCTGGCTTGGTTCCTGGGTGTGGTTTTGGCCTGCATTCCGTTGCTGGTCTTTTCCAAGCTCTGGCTGGTTCTGCTGGGGCTCGCCAGTCATGGACTTGGATTTCATTTTTTGCTGCATAAAACAACAGACTGCCATTTCTGGATGAAGTCTATTTGCTGAATACACTCAGTAGAAGAGGAGATTTATGTGAGCTTGGTAAAAGAAAGAGAATTCTTCCCCTAAATAGAGACCAGAGGAAAGTGAACACAAGTAATTCACAGGCCCTGACACAGTAACAGAAGGTTACTGAGTAAGGGACACAAAACAACCATTTCCCATTCCATATGCAGAAACAGGGGGAAAGTACATGCATGACCAAGACTCGAAAGATGGTAGAGAAAAGGAAAAGAAAAGGCCAGTAGCATGGGACAGTTACTAAAGGTGTAACGAATGTGTAATGGGAATAGCAGGAGAAGAAAGAAAGGAACCAAAGACATATTTGATAAAAAGTACTGAGATTTTTCCAAATTTAATGACAGACACTAAATCACAGATTCGGGAAGCTCAGCCAAATACCAAACAGAATAAACACCAAAAAACCTACACCTAGGCCTCTCATATCTAACCACAGAAAATCAAAGGTAAAGAGAAAATCCTGAAAGAAGCCAGAGGGGGAAAAATAAGATTACATTAGATTTCTCTTCAGAAACCATGTAAGAAGAGTATAGAGCAAAATATTTAAAGTTTTTTGGGAAAAAAAATCACCAACCTAGAATTCTGTATCCAGTGCAATTATCCTTCAAAAGTGAAAGAGAAATAAAGACTTTCTCAGACAAGGAAAAATTAAAGAAATTGGTCACCAGTAGACCTGTCTTGCAAGAAATGCTAAATGAATTTCTTCAGAGAAGGAAAACGACCCAAGTCAGAAACTCAAATCTACATAAAGAAAGGAAGAGCATTAGAGAAGGAATAAATGAAGTGAAGAAGACAAGGAAAAGACACTGTGAGAAGAAAGGCATAAAGTATGTTACAGAGTTACGTAGCATTAAAGTAGAAGATTCATGTGAAGTTAATGTAATAATAATAAGCGTTATTTTGTCATTTTCACCTTAAAAATCTAGATAGGGACATTGATATACCAAAGATTTACTGTATGCCTGTTTTGTGCCACTCTCTGTTTCTAAGTTGTAAGGGTACAGATGCAAAGAATAAACTATCTACCTTTCAGGACTCAGCCTAATGGAGAGAAGAGATGTATACACAAATAAGGCACAGCAGACAACTAAAGAACAGTCTAAGGAAGTTCATAAAAGTGCAAGTAATGAGGTCTTATCTCTTGAGAGAGGTGGGAAAATGCTCCTTGAAGAAGTACATTTGATTTGAGTATGGAACTGAGTAGAAGCATCCTTGATTCAGGGGAAAGGGGAGACACAGCAGTATGTACATAAGTGGAGGCAACAGATAAAGCCATCTGAATTTTATTTTTTAAGCCAGTAGCCTCAGAATCACTTCTAAACAATGGCTTAAGGCAGTAAACAATTCTATACCTAGGATAACAAAGCAGGCTTGAATAACTAGATCCCAGGTTTTCCAACACAGGGCCATTGTATTAACCAGTGAAACTGGTCCTCTATTGGTCATGCTCCTAGCATACACCACAAAGACAGCAAATGTTTGATACATATGCAAGTTAAGGTATCGTATCCATGAAGGCTGTAAGAATCATGATATCAAAAATAATCTGGTCCCATGTGCCCTGAGGGAAGATGGGTAAGACAATGAGATTTAACTGTGTGCTGACCATGCAGTATGCAAGACAACTTACATGTATTATCTGATTTAATCCTCATCAATCATGTGAGGAAGATGCTGTTAATCTCATTTTACAAACTAGAAACTGAAGCTGAGAGAGGTAATAATTTGCCGAGGAACTAAGAAAAGGGCAGAACCAGAGTTTAAACATGAGTATTCCTGTGCCCAAAGTTCCTGTTCTTTCCTGTATACCACACTAGATTAAAAACAGTACTAGAACTACCAGACATCACAATTCTGGAGCCATCTAAGAAGAAAAAAGAATTATGGAAGTGATAGTTGAAATCTACAGGGAATGTAAAACGTTAATCTTGGCAATTAATTTGATATGTACGGTCAGCAAACACTGTGTAAGAACTGCTGATTGGTAATAACATCAGTCTAATTCTCCTCTCTCCCTCTCTCTTCTGTGGAGCTATCACAAGATAGGCTAGCAGAGGAGAAGGTGGCCTGGAGAGTTCCAGGGAACAAAGAGCAAAGGGTAACAAAGAACCTAATGAGGTAGAGACCTACTTCAAGGCAGCAAAACCTTAAACTGAACAATATAAGAGTTTAAATACGGCCTTAAAAAAATTATCTTAGTGCACTGTACACTTAAAAACAGTAAATTTTATGTTATGTGTATTTTACCACAACTAAAAAAACAAAAACAAAAGAAACATTTCAGTTCTGTACCAGGCTGCGCTGGATCCTCAGTTCCTTTATTTTGAGTTTCCTTCGATCTTCCAAAGAGAACTCCACTATCGGTCTCTGTGTCAGGAGACAGAAAGTCATTCGTTAGCTTTCTCAATCTCCGAGTGCAACGAGCTGAGCTGTCCCCCACCACTGCCCTCTTTTTTGCAAGTCAGAGGCTGCCACTCACATACTCTTCTTAAAGGTAAGAGGTCAGTTCTGCAAGCAGTCTACCCAATTTAGAGTTCCTTTTAGTCGTCTTATCATTTGAATCACAGCTCATTCCCTCCACTGACTTTCTACTCTTTCCAACCATTCAAATGTCAGAGAACACTGGACATGAAGGAGAGAAATGGTTTTCTGCAAATGGCTCTCGGGAAACAGCTGTCCCCACAGGATGAGGCTCACCTTCTGAGGTCCAAAGATTTCCGGATTGTTGTTGATATGGCGCAGGGCCACCAGGGCATGCTCATGTTCCTGGAACTCTGCAAAGGCGTAGCCTAGGGACTGACCCTTAATTTTCCCGTGAACTCCTTTAAGGTCTCGCATCACCCTACACTATGAGCAGAACAAGAAAAAGAGCAGTAATTATGAGATGATGAGAAATCTTAACAGATTCAATAAGAAATCAGATTATTGGAACAGAATCTTCATCTATATTGTCATCACAAGAATTACACTGGAATAACACTTATGTTTGTCTTATTAGAATACACCTAGCGAGAGCACAAAACAAATTAAATAGATATTTTCTCACTTCCTAAGAGTTTACAGACATCAACACAAATCTACAAATAAGCATGTAAATAAAATAAACTTCCCAAGGAAAAGTTATAATAGCTAACCGGTGACAATATGTACAACTCGAGAGGTACACGGTACTTATAATAAGTATTTATTATACAGTAAGTTGCATAATAAGTTATCACTAAGGATGACATGCTGTCCACAGATCTCATAATTGAAGAAACCACTCAGAAAGGAACTTGTTGAAGAAGGCCTGATGGCTTTAGATAAGAAAGACATTTCAGGTATGGGGAAGAGCCTGCCCAAGATACAGCCTCAGAATTACAGGAAGAAACCTTAGCCGTCTTTGCTTGGAGCTTAGATACACTTCAGCATGATTTTTCCCTAAATCCTTACGCTGGATGTAATAGACATGCTGGGGCACTGAGGTACGGTAGGATATTTTAGGAAAACAGATCATTCACATGCTATTACTCCTGGAAGCTGTAGTTCTCATGTAATGAAGAAGTCTAGGTATTGGGGACACTTGGACGCTGCATTTGGTAGACGTCCAGTAGCTACTGTGCCTAGAACTGTGCTATGTACTGTAGGGAAATCCAGAAAAGCATTAAATGAGGTTCTTGTCCTCTAGAAGCTTACTATCTTACTGAGACACTATATTTACACATATGAAAGAATTAAGAGAAAATTCAATATAATGGAAATATTGTAAAACACACATAAATTGTTCTAAATGACAGGTTTTAAATGTGCAGACATTAAGTATTGTACATGTTCATATGAGAAATTACACAAGTGACCCCTGTGCCACTAACACTTTGAATAGTTTTATTAAGAGTGGTATTGGATCTATGCTGAGCGTTCACATTCTCTCATGTGATTACCCAAATACCAATACCACACATGTTGAAGAGTCTTTCAGGGATTAGAAAACAGTTTATGGTGATGAAACAAAGCAAAGCAGATTCATAATACTGGCTATGTTACTTTTTCAATAAATACTGATTGAGACATTACTATGTGCCAGGTACTATGCCAAGGATTGGGAACAATGAGCTAACTCCTGCCCTCAAAGAGCTCAAACCAGTTGGGACAAATGACTGACTGACACCACAGGACAGTGTAACAGTAAGTGCTCTACTGGAGGTATGTAAAGGGTGCTGTAGTGGCAAAGAGGCTTCTGTACTCACACCATGTCTAACCAAGTCGGTATGAATCCAGCACTTGTCTGATACAACTGTCAAAGACCCATGTGGCTCCCTGTGCTCACCACGGGGCACTGAGAACTCTTACTATAGGCTAACAGCCTAAATGGTAGTAAAATGCTCTTCTAAAGAGCAAAACAGATGATTTTCTCTGGAAGAAAATTAACATTACAGCACCTGTTATAAGGCTGAGCACACAGCAGGCATTCAATAAATGCTTGCTACAGTAATTCACCCGGGCAGGGACTTCCTCACATTCTGCTACAATTTGGTCAGTGAAAAGCAGTTCTCAGAAGAGAAAAAACAAAAAGGAAAGAAAACTACCAAACACAGCCTTGTCTGTTGACAATGGGTCCAAAAGAAAATCTGTCAATTTGCTAGCACCACAACCTGAAATAATGCTTGATCTGACCCAGGATGAATACCAAAGTTCTGAGAGGGCAGAGCCAACTCTCACCTCCTTGATGCGCACCCCTCTCTCCCCTCTAGTGGCATTTAGCAGCAGCTTTCTGAGCTGTTTGTCATCCACGGCCTTTGGGAGGTTGTGCAGGCAGAGCCTCGTCTGGGAGACAAAGATATTCTGGTCCTTCAATTTCTGATGCTTCAGTAGCTCAAACTGAAAGAACAACAAACTGTTAAGAATACAATCCACCTTTTAAAAATGCAGGCTCATAGCTCTCCAAAAGGGAAGAACCATGACGCCCATCTAAGAACCACATCTGCAGATAAAAGGAGGGGAATTACCCACACTGCAGCCTTACGATGGCCACCCTCACAGGGAAAGGTTCAAGGAGGCAGCATGGTGGGTAGGCGGTACACACAATCATGGGCTCTGGAGTCAGACTCAATTAGATATCCATCCCCAACTAGCCAAACGTGAAATTTTTTAAGCCTCAATTTTTCAGCTACAAGTGAAACTGCTGATCAAAAAAGCAATCTCTCAGCACTGATGTGAGGCTGAAATGAGGTAATATACATAAAATCTCAAACTTGAAACCTGGCCCAGAGCAAATAATAAGTAACACTGTGTTTAACATCTATGCACAGTCCTTATTCACCCACCAACTCAAACTAATTATCTAGTCCTTTCAAAAGGAAACAGAATTTATTTAAAGAATACTTGAGAGAATGTTGTCTTGGCTCAACTCTGCCACCTTGAGGCAAAAGAGTATTCATGACCACAGAAATGCATTCTGCTTCTAGAGCATCAGCCTCAACTATGCTGCACAAAACAGTGGTCTCAGAGCAACCTGTCTCTAAAGTGAAAAGATGACATTCTTCTCCTGATTTGTTTTTTTAAAATTAGGTTAGTAGAAAAAAGTTTTAAATTGAAATTTTCTTTTATTAAGTCTTCTCGTTACTGCTATTCTTTGGTAAAAGTACTAACAAATCACAAAATAAACAGATACTCTGGAAATGAGTATTACAGGGCTATTTGAGGAGGCTATCATGCTGAAGTTCAACAGTCTGATTTTTCTCCCAGGAAAAACTGTGTTTGCTGTGAATTATCATGCATATAATCTAGTGAGCTTTTTGCTAGAAAAATTCATTCTAAGAGGAAACTAAATGTGTCACTATCGCATTGTGATCAGAAAAGGGCATACAATGTCCCCCAAACACACCCCAATACCATGATTTCCAGATGCTCACTATCAAAGGCAGTTGAGAACACTGGTCTAGAAAACGAACACAGAAAAGACACACTGCCTCTTGCTGTCATTATTTTCTCATCTCTGTCCACCATCTTCTGCACTTTCAGGTTCCATAGTTAACTCTGTTACTGGTTATGCATCTTTACCATTCTAAGCTGCCTTAGCCTTTTGAAAGCAAGCTATATGAGCAAAAGTAAAAATTACTGGGGACAAACATTACTGAGCAGCAAAGGAACTTAATGGTAGCAGTTATCAGTGGAAACTCCCATAATACGGAGTTTTCCTAAAATGATTTTATAATCTAGGGATATCACCCTCCTGCCCAAAATGTCTATCTTAACTTTGACTTCCAAGACCCACATCTACCTCCTTCCCTACTAACTCCAGCTTGCTCTGATCTTCCTTTCTTATGTTATTCTGCATTTATACCGATATCTACTTATAAATAGCCCTAGCCTCTAAGCATTTACTGCATGATCTACAAACATACTATTCGGCAAATATTTACTGCTGAGCATTAGGAAAATAAAGAATAAGACCCAGTTCTTATAATGGCATATAATGCTGATATAATATTATGTATAATGTTGGGTTATCTGTTTTGTCACCTGTGTGTTTCTTTTCTAACAAAAGTGTAAGTTGGGTCTGTGATCAATACTTAGCTCTTTGATAAGCACCTCTAGCATTCATTATTATTTTTTATTGATTTATAATAAGTCATGCAGAACCTGACGGCTGGTGCCTAATCCACTCACTCGTTCTCTTTTGGCCATATCAGCAGCACTCACGCCCTCTGCAGCCTTCGTCCCAGCACGAATCACTGCAGAAAGAGGAAAACAGGCCAAGACATCAGCATGGGAATTTTCACTGAGCAACAAGAAGAATGTGATTTGAATGATGCAAGCTCTCTGTATAGGGCCCAGAGGACTATGCTGGCCAGGAGACAGTGGCATTTGGGTAGGTCCAGAAATAGGCTACAGGGCTAAGTTCTCGGCTCAGAGCTGCTCTCAAGGACCAAAACTCTGAACATTTTGTGATTTTTGCTCTTTTTCTCATTCCCTCCCCTTAGAGAAGCTTCATGTACATGCCCAAAGTCAGATGGCAAGGCCCAGAGGAAGTTCTGAAAGTAAGTACATTTTAGACATTTGGAATGCAAAAATGCTCCCCCTATAATCTGCCCTTAGAATGTTGCTGCTCTTCATGTACTTGGGGGCCACTACTAAGCAGTGAATAAGCCAGCCCAGAAAACAGCCACGCTGCCATATAAAGGCCTAGTCCGAAAGGCTAATGGCCTTACATTAATAGTCTAGGCGGTGCAGAAGGTGGGCCAATAAATACTGTATGACCTTGAAGAAGAGATTCTTCTTTTTTTTTAATTAAAGCTAATTTTTTATTCTCTTTCTGACATTAAGAGAAAGACACTGATTGTACATGTTAAATTCATGAATAATCCAAAAGAATAATTCTAGTCATAATTTTCAACTCCTTCAGAAAACATATTAGAAATGATGACAAGAAGCGAAGGCAATTTGAGTTTTTCCTTCCTCTTTGCCCTGGCAATCCTCTGACGAAAAGGTCTAGAGGCATGCAGGCAGAAAAACAAATGGACCAGTTAATCCACAGACTGGGTGAAGTTTGCTAAGAGAAAGCCACATCTGCTAAAGCGGAATCACAATATAACACTGTTAAAGAGACATTTGGGTTTTTAATTTGAAACATGATCCCAAACACACTATTGTTGGGTCACTGTCATAGCACAGAGCCAGCTACTGAGAAGGCTGGTTCATGTCTCCCTTCCACTACTCACAGCCTTCCCGGGCCAGATAGAGGTTCCGGGTTCCAGTTGGCTTCTTCACCTTCTTTGTCTGGAGCTTTGCAGCCTCATCACGGGTCACTGCCAAGTCAACCTTGAGCTGCCGGCCATCCAGTTTAAGCCCACCACCCTGTAAGAGGTTGTAATCCTCTCTCTTAAAATACATAATAAGTAGAAACTAAGCACCTGACAAGGAACACCAAGGAAACGGAAACAGCAAGCCCTAACTATGCTATGGAACCCAACCCCCAGGATGTTTTAGCCCAGCTGGCTGCAAGTGGATCACTGAGCCTAACAGTATTTAGTATAGTCATGCAAAAGGCCACGTGTGTACTTAGGGCAGTCAGCAGTAAATAATTTATTTTTGGGGAGTTGATTAGTCCCAAAGTAGGCCCAAATTGAGGAAAATGATCTGTAAATAGGCATATTTTTAGCATTCTAAAGAAAGCTAATGAAATAATAGTGTTAATTCTACTCAAGAAAATTTAGGAGACAATGGCATCAGGATAACTTGTCTCAAAACAATGTATACTCTTGCTCATAGAATACACAGAAAAATTCTTCATCACCCACTTTCTCTCTCAAACACATTTACTCTTGGGGCTGGCCCGGTAGTGCAGCAGTTAAGTGCACAGGTTCCACTTCGGCAGCCTAGGGTTCGCCAGTTTGGATCCCAGGTGCAGACATGGCACCGCTTGGCAAGCCAGGCTGTGGTAGGCTTCCCACATATAAAGCAGAGGAAGATGGGCATGGATGTTAGCTCAGGGCCAGTCTTCCTCAGCAAAAAGAGGAGGATTGGCAGTAGTTAGCCTAGGGCTAATCTTCCTCAGAAAAACAAAACAAAACATTTACTCTACTTCATAGATGGCCTTAATCCGTTCTTGCCCCAGTCTTTCATGTCATCAGCTAGGATAAAGGCTAACACACAGATAGTGATCAAGAAATATTACATATATCATTATACCCGTTTCCTCACCTATAAAATAGGGATAATAATTGTACTTACCTTATATGCTCCTATAAGGCTGATATAAAGATTAAAATAAGGTAATACAAGTAAAGCTCAGTGCCTAACCAAGTGCTCAATAAGTGTTAGCTTTATTATTATATTATTGACAATAATAATAATATTGCTTTTTGTAAACATCAGATGTTGCCCCTGGGAGCCACTATCACCTAAGTTATAGAGTAAAGGAAATGTCTTCCTTACCTCGGTCTCTGGAGATGCAGCTTCAAGGCATTTCTGAGCTGCTTCTTGAGTCATGAACTGAGCAAATGCACAACCTACTCAAGAGACAAAATTAAGTGAGATCACAAACTCCCATGGCCCACCAGGAAGCCAAAGACAACACTACAAATGGTGGCAACCTGACACAACGTGGAAGGGGTAGTAGCATCCTTTTGCTAAGTACCACGAGACAGGCACTGTGTCAGGCATTAAGAGTTCAAAGACATAAGATAGCACACCTGCTCACAATGAAATTTTATTACTTCCTTCATCTTTTCCAATACATCTTAGAGCTTTAGTCTCACCATCTCCCTCCTTAATAAGAAAGATCCATACGAAATGGTAGAGAAATTCCAGCTTAACACTTAATTCACTTACTGCATGTCTATTAGAGGACTAAAAATAAGGCAGGAACCACTTAACCCTGAAATTAATTACAGATCTCACTGTCATCACAGTCACTTGGTGGGAGGTATCAGATAAGGGCAGATCTGTCTCTTGGAGTAAAAGTTCCTGGTCTCTATCACAAGAATACAGCAGTGAACCAGAAAGCCATGAACTCAATTCTTGATTCATGCTCTAAAATTTCCACAGGCCCACCCTTCACTGGCTAGATGTAAGGCCAATCAGCCCATCCTAATTTCTGCTATTGATAAAACACAGCTTTTACAAGCAAATAAAAAAAAGTTCACCTCATAGAAAACTCCAAAAAAGAAATACAGGTTACATAATATTTTGTTAGTATTCCTTTAGACTTCAAATATTCTTTCACATATAAAAACAATGCCATATTTCCTAGAGCTACTGGAACATTGATCTTTTACCACTATTTGCAGGTGACATGATTTTATATCTAGAAAACCTAAAGAATGCAACAAAAGACTATTAGAAATAATAAGTGAACACAGCAAAGTTGCAAGATACAAAACCAACAAACAAAAATCAGTTGTGTTTCTATACACTAACAACATACTAGCAGAAAGAGAATACAATCCCATTTACAACTGCAACAACAACAACAAAATACCTAGGAATAAGTTTAACCAAAGAGGTGAAAGACCTGTACACTGAAAACTATAAAACACTTAAAAGAAACTGAAGACAACACAAAGAAATAGAAAGATAGTCCATGCTCATGGATTGGAAGAATTAACATAGTTAAAATGTCCATACTCCCTACAGCAATCTACTGATTCAATGCAATCCCTATCAAAGTCCCAACAACATTGTTCAAAGAAATAGAACAAAGAATCCTAAAACTTATATGGAACAACAAAAGACTCCGAATAGCCAGAGGAATCCCGAGAAAAAAGAACAAAGCTGGAGGTATCACACTTCCTAATTTCAAAATATACTACAAAGCTGTAGTAATCAAAATGGCATGGTACTGACACAAAAAGAGACACACAGATCAATGGAACAGAATTGAGAGCCCAGAAATAAACCCATGCATCTATGGACAGCTAATTTTTGACAAGGGAACCAAGAACATATAATGGAGAAAGGAAAATCTCTTTAATAAATGGTGTTGGGAAAACTGGCCACATGCAAAAGAATGAAAGTAGACCATTATCTTACAATATATACAAAAATTAACAAAAATGTATTCAAGACTTGAATGTAAGACCTGAAACCATAAAAGCTCTAGAAGAAAACATAGGCAGTATACTCTTCAACATCAGTCTTAGCAGCATCTTTTTGAACACCATGACTCACTAGGCAAGGGAAACAAAAAAAAAATAAACAAATGAGGCTACATCAAACTAAAAAGCTTCTGCACAGCAAAGAAAACCATCAACAAAATGAAAGACAAGCTAACAATTGGGAGAAGATAATTCACAAACCATATATCTGATAAAGGGTTAATATCCAAAATTTATAAAGAACTCATACATCTCAACAATAAAGAAACAAACAACCCAATTAGAAAATGGGCAAAAGATCTAAACAGACACTATTCCAAAGAAGATTTACAGATGGCCAACAGGCACATGAAAAGATGTTCAACATCACTAATTATTAGGGAAATGCAAATCAAAACTACAATGAGGTATCACCTCATGCCCGTCAGAATGGCTATAATTAACAAGACAAGAAATAAGAGGTGTTAGAGAGGATGTGGAGAAAAGGGAACCCTCATACACTGCTGGTGGGAATGCAAACTGGTGCAGCCTCTAGGGCAAACAGTACGAAGACTCCTAAAAAAATTCAGAATAGAGAGCCAGCCCTGATGGCCTAGTGGTTAAAGTTGGGCATGCTCTGCTTTGGCAGCTGGGGTTCAGTTCCTGGGTGCGGAACCACACCACTTGTCTGTCAGTAGCCATGCTGTGGTAGGGGCTCACATAGAAGAACTAGAAGGACTTACAACTAAAATATACAACTATGTACTGGGGGCTTTGGGGTGGCGGGGGGAGGAGGAAGGAAGATTGGCAAGAGATTTGCTCAGAGCAAATCTTTTCCAGCCAAAAAAAATAAGAGAATAGAACTACCATATGATTCACTATTCCACTTCTGGATATTTATCCAAAGAACACAGAAACATGAATGTGTAAAGATATATGCATCCCTATGTTCATTGCAGCATTATTCACAATAGCCAAGACTAGGAAACAACCTAAGTGTCCATCAGTGGATGAATGGATAAAGAAGTTGTGGTGTATATACACAATGGAATACTACTCAGCTATAAAAAAGATGAGATTTTGCTGTTTTGAGACAACACAGATGGACTTTGAGGGTATTATGCATGCTAAGCAAAATAAGTCAGATGAAGAAAGTCAAATATTGTACGATTTCACTCATAAGAAAATAAAAACACCACCACCAAATAAGCACATAGATACAGAGATTGGGAAGGCGAAAGGGGTGATAGGGCATATGTGTATACTGGTAGATGGTAATTAGTCTTTGGGTGGTGAACATGATGTAGTCTACACAGAAATCGAAATATAATGATGTACACCTGAAATTTATTTGTTTTAAACCAATGTTACCTCAAAAAAAAAAAAATATGAATGAATGTTAGCAGACTAACTGAAAAGACACATGTAGCAGGCCAACACAAGGGTCACCATCTAGGTCTTCCCTGCCTCCTCCAGGCAGAGTCAAGTACCCCACCCACAGGTCCTCCACTCACATCTCTATTACAGTGCTGGTCAGGTGGCACCTTCCCAAACAGAGTGAATGCCTCAGGAATAAGGGGCATGTTTCTTGGCTGTTTGTAGATCCCTAGTACCTACCATAATGTCCAGCATTAACAGATACTCAAAAGAAACAAATAATAAATATGGAGGAAAAAATGTTTCTAATAGGCAGATCCGCCTATTTATCCAATATGAAGAAAGTGAGTAAGTACTTCTCTCTGAATGGGTATGAATTTTATCATTGGAATTTCCAGGATCAGTACTGGGTTCAGTCTTAACACTTCCCAAAAAGTCTTCAGATAATATTTAGCTCTTTCAGGCAGTGAAATGGCATGCTGACGGGGAAATATTGTAGCAGGAGGCCAAAGTTGTGTGAGTAGGCAGAAAAAGTGCCAGAAAACCTTAATACGAGCTAGGGAAAGACAATGCATTATGAAAAAATAATGAAAACTATGCTTATTAAGATCATTAACTCTCAGCTAACATTAATAGACCAAGAAAGAGACTGAGCAGGTCAACTGTAGACTACCTTCTGAAAATATCAACTCAATATACTACTGCACTCAAAAAGGAATAAAAGATACCATCAAAGTAAAGCAATATCCTTTACTGCTTAAAACATTCTATGCAACTTTAGTTGCCCATTTTTAGAAGAACATACTAGAATGGAGAAGGTCCAAGAAGTATAACTGAATATCAGAGCTGAAGGCACCTTAAGTGACTACTCTAGTTAAACCCACTCATTTTACACATAAGAAACTGAAGCCCAGGGTGCTTAAATGATTTGCCAAAAATCACCCAGCTGTTCTATGGCTTAGCTGGGATTAGATCCCTAATCTCCAGGAAGCAGCTGGATTTTCTTTCCATCAAATTGCCTTATTTACATCTTTTCTAGCTGAGTAAAAACCAAAACTGATCAGATCTCATCAATTCAGAAAATAAGAAAGTTTAGAATGGAGGTTATTAATCCATGGATAGGCTCCAGAGAGCCCACAAACCCTCAGAAGTGGTATGTTTCTGAGATGGTTCATTGCTTTTCCTAGATCTCAAAGGAATCAAGAATCATAACGAATTAAAAATTCACTGCTTTAGGAGAATGACTGCAGTTGATGAAATCAAAGATTATGAATGGAGAATGGGTTGAAAAGATGGTCCCCTAACAACAGTATACTAGAATAAGGAGTGGTCAACCCTTGAAGATCAAAAGAAACAGCTTTAGGGGAAAAAAACCTGAAGGCAGCACTACCGCTACACAGTTTTCCTTCTGACTATTGCCACTGCAACAAAGTTTCTGTGTCAGCTTCCATTTCTAACAAAAGAGCTGAGGAAGATTCCAGTAATTTCAAGCAATGTGGAATGATTAATACCCAGGAAATGTTATCACATTTGAAATTCAAAGGAGAACAACAAATGGAATTCATTACCCTAAAGTAAATAAGCAAGAGCTTGAAAAGCTTAGACAAAATTACGGCTGGCAGCACCATTAAAGGTGATGAGTTTGACATGATGGAAGACAACCTCAAAATGTCCTTGGTGCTTCTATGGACCAAAGAAACCTGGATGGCCTGTGAACCCCTCAGAAGGGCACATGTTATGCTCTCACATAACCTACTCAGTGCCTGTGACAGTGGTCTCAATCCTTTTAGGGCCTGACCAGCTGACAGCAAATACCTTTAGAATGCTCTGTGTCTGGATGCAAGACAATGCAGACATATTTAAGGTCTCCAAACTGCTGGAGGAGCTCCCCAAGCTCTTCTTCCTCTGAGTCAAAGGACAGGTTTCTATGGAAGACAATCAGGTCACAAGAAAGGTCAATAACAAAAGTGAGATTCTGTGTTCCAGTACAAGGTGAGTGAGTCAGACATCAATTAGAGGGTTCTCTTGTCCATGACCACCCTCCCCTGTTCAGGAATAGCACCAACAGGGGTGGCCCCCAGTGGCCAGGTCTCTGATGTATGACTCTGTCCTTCAGCCATAACTGACTGACCTGCCCAAGTCAATCAGATTCTCCTTCCCAGGAATTTAAAACTTGAGCAGACATACAACAAGGACCAGAAGTTACAGATGCAGATTCACTTCCAAACAGCAATGCCCCACCCGAGGGAAACTTCTGGGGAGCTGAAAATGTTCCATATCTTGATCAAGGTGGTGGTTACATGGTAATATATATACAGCTATACATATTTGTATGTGTGTGTGTGTATATATATATATGTATTTCATATATATATATGAAAAATTTCACTGAGTTGTACACATAGGTTAACGCACTTTACAGAATGCATGCTATACCTTAAGAAGGAAAAAAAAGGGCGGTGGGGATCCTCAGAGAAAAGACCCATGGCCTGCTGCAGCTAGGGTCTCAGAACTACCCAGATTTTCATCCCCTTCTTGAGGTTTGCTCTTTGACAAGCTTGATTCTGTGAGTCACCCTAATGTTCATCCAACAAACCCGCTTTTTCACTTAAACTGGCCAAATTTAGTTTCCCTTACTACAACCAAAAGACTCACAGCAGGCTAATGAGAAAAGTCAAAACTCTCCCTGTCTTTCAATTAGCCATTTTCTCCTCTGTGCTCCTATGAAATCAGGTTTCAGTTAAAATTTTACAAAAGTCATAAAGTCCTTCAAAATAATAACTCAAAAGCAAATATGGTAAAGTTTACTGGCTAAGTGCAAAAAAAGAAAATTACTTATTTCTCTCGATGGGATTAAAAAATGTTGGGAGGAGATTTTGTTCTACTAAATTTCAACACAGTGTGAAGATTCCTCATCTCCCCAGCTATGCGCAGCCTTCCAGGGATAAGAAAAACAGTCCCAAATAAATACCTATTTGACTTCTCTTACACTCAGTTCACGACCCCATAAATGATCCTGCCTTATGGAGTAACCAAGATAAAGAAGATGTTCTGTAATAAGACATATCCCAGCCACATTATTTCTTCGAATTTGCCTCATCATGTACATAGTTTTTTCTCTTCCATCCCATGACTTTCTTAAGTTCTTTATTAACTAAAAGATGTATAAGGAATGGTACCCTTGGTATTGAGGTCACAGGCTTCTAAATGCGACATTTCTTCCTTCCTTTTAGATAGAATCCTCTACAAATACAAAATTATTTATATGGCAATTCTAAATAACACAGTAAAAAAAAATTATGTAGACATATGCTGCAGAGGAAGAAAATAGGCTACAGCACAGCATGCATAGGCTAAACTCATTTTTGTGAATATTCATGATACGGGCATGTGTGCGGGTGTTCTCTGAGTAGTGATTAAGGTTAATTTTTTTGGTGTTGTTTTGCTCATTTATTTCCTAAATTTCCCACAATAAACATAAATTAACTGTGTAACAAAAACAATCTTAAAAGATTGTACAGAGCCTAGTAGTTAAAGTTTAGCATGTTCCACTTCAGTGGCCCAGGTTCGGTTCCTGGGCACGGAACCACACCACTCGTCCATCAGTAGCCATGCTGTGGTGGCAGCTCATGTAGAAGAACCAGAAGAACTTAGAACTATACATAACTATGTACTGGGGTTTTGGGGCAGGGGGAAAGAAGAAAAAAGGAGGAAGATAAGCTAGAGATATTAGCTTAGGGCAAATCATCCCCTGCAAAAAAGAAAATTCTACAAGAGGATAAAATATTCATTTCTAAAATAAGACCCAAGGATGAGAAGGCATGCTTGAAGTGTACTGAAGATATCCCAACCTTCTGAAAAAAACCAATCTACTGCAGTCAATAGGACTAAAAGAGCAATGACAACATGAAATAAAACCTAACTCCAGCCCAACTCTCTCCCTCAGTTTTCCTAGAAATAGGATGCCTTACTTTATTCTGGACACTACTTTAGAATATAAGTTAGGCATGAAGAAAGAAATCATTTTGGAGTAGCGGTGTTACTCCCTCCCCAGCACTCCTTCTAAAACAAAGGCCAGAAGCAAGATGTTTCTAATAGTTAAAGAATTGATTTGTGCCAAATTATGCCACCCCAATTACAAAGAATGGAATCTAAATGAGGACAAGATATGAAGACCCCTGCTATTTATCTTCTTTGTATAGTTCTGATTCTCCTACGTTTCTCATTGTTTGGTATGTTCTTAGGGCCAGATGTGCTAATGGTCTTAGAGGCATCTAACTTTCTGGCTTAGCTAACAGAACTAGCACCAAAAAAAAAAAGGAGAAAGAGGGAAGGAGGGAGAAGAAAAAAGAGAACCCTCTGAAGGCGACATAATCAGCAGTTGTCAAGGTAGAAGGGGATACCTGATAAAGACAGTTTTCCCTTCATTCACATCAGGGGGTAGCTTCCTCTTCTTTTTCTTTGAGACTTGCACATCTACAGTAAAAAGAAAAGTAACAAACTGAAAAAGAGTAGTGCAAGCCATACAACAATGGGTTAACTTCTTAAATATATAAAGATCTTGCATAAATCAATAAGAAAAAATCTGATTAAAAATGAACAAAGTATGTGAAACTAAATATAGAGAAAGATGCTCAAACTCACTCATAATTAAAGAAAAACATAGCACAAGAAATAAGATACTATTTTTCACCAACAGATTAGCAAAAACCAAAAAGACAGATGATATCCACTGTGGTAATGGTATGGGAAAAAAGAGATTCCCCACGTACTGTTGTGACAGTGTAAACTTTCTGAAAATATAAAATATGTAGGACATTTGAGGAGAAAAAATGCACATACCCACAAACAACATACACTATATTGTATATATGTGCGTATATATGTGTATGTGTTTGCTTATAAAGGCATTAAATATCTTTGAATACACGAGAAACTTGGTTGTCTCTGGGGAGGGGCCCTAAGTGGTCAGGAACAGGGTATAAGGGAGACTCACTGTTTGTTTTTAAAAATAGACACACATGCGGGATGTGCGAATTTAACTGCTGCACTACTGGGCCGGCCCCTAAGCTAGGTTTTAAATTCCCTAACAAAGAATCTTAACTCTCAGACACCACTCCAAACTCATTTAAAAAACAAAACAAAAACACCTTTAGAAGACAGGAATATAAAGGTTTCATCTTTGGCATTGAAACATAAATTTGACAGCACACCTCAGGGTCCTATTTAAAAAGAGGCATGAGCTGAACTGAGGCATATCTCTCAGTAACTTATTTTAAATTTAAAGGCATCTACAAAGATCCCTGGCAAACCTTCGTCCTCTTGCTCTTCAGTGTTGGTATCACTCTGAGCCTGTTCCTCTCCACTGTCAATACTCTCTCCGTCCTCCAGGTCGCCGTCCTCATCGGAATGCTCCTCTTCACTGCCTTCTGCAGGCGCTGCCCTCTTGACTGCTCTGCAACGGGACAGTTCAGAACTAAGGATCTGGGCTGAGACGGGCCTATCCAACTTCCTTACCCGTGTCAATTCTGCAATGATGGGGGCAGGAAAAGACATCACTTTTCCTCTCAGAAACAACTCTAAATCTTCCTCTGTTGTCTCAGAACAAGCTGAGCTGCTTACCTCTTCTGAATTTGCACAGCCTTCATCACCTTTGATTCTTTATTCTCCTCCTCCTCTTCTTCATCTTCTTCATCCTCCTCCTCCTCCTCCTCCTCTTCCTCTTCCATATCATCTTCATCCTCCCCCTCCTCCTCCGCTTCCTCTCCCACATTCTCTTCTTCCCTGACATTCTCTTTACCTAATTTCTGATCTTTAGGTTCAGGCCTCTTCTCCTCACCTACACAGGGAAGTAAAGAAAGTTAGGAGTTCACTTAGTATCCAAAACAGGGTTATTTTAACAAGAGCAACTAATACCCCAAGTTCCTAGTTTCTTTGGTTTTACAGAATCTCACATAGTTTTCTTACTGTACTTAACAGGAGAAAGTATGGAGGAAAAAAAGCAAAAAAACCCAACAAAAACCCCTCATCACTGAGATTCCCTTGGAGTCTGTCTCATTCATCAGAAACCTCAAGGTTAACCTGGCTTGGAATGAGAGAAGTAGCAACCAAGCCTCCACAAACAGCCCACCACTGTGCACCACGGCCAGCACAAGCCTTGCTCTGGAGCCCAACCATGAACTTTAGTCTCAGTGAGTTCTGTTTTCTGAGAACCTGGTGACTCAAAAGCCAATTGTTTTCTAAATAAAACTCAAATTTTTAAGTCTCCCTATTCTTTATGTTCTATCACTCCCTATTATGAAAAGCTTGGAGAGGACAGCAAGTAGAGGGGACAATGAACTCAGGCCCCACCCCTCACTTGCATCCGCATCCAAGAGGGAGCTTAGACTCAAAAGATCCTATGTTTTGGGACCAGATCACCAGATGGTATGATATGAACTGACAAAGAGCTCTGGGCTCATTTGTGAGACAGAAGGAATTCAGAGCTTTTCTTACTCTTCAGTCTCATTCTTCTGGTTAATCTTACGCTTTGGGTGTCTCTAGGCCAATGTTCTCACTGACAAGCAGGTTCCTTTATACTTTTATTGTAGATAGTTGTTTCTGCACTCACCTTGGGACATACAACCCCTCCTACCCAACACCACCACATCTTACCTGGAGCAGAAGCAGACTGAGTATTTTTATATTTATCCTTTGCCACGGCCCAATCCACAGCCACCGTCCGCCCTGTAAGACAGAAAAGTAGCATCAGAAAGGCCTTCTTCTTTTTAACATTCCTATCTCCTGTAAATGGCTTCTTATTCATCAAAGACTGTAACAGAACCAAAGGAGACAAAGAAACTGCCAATTCAGACAATGTTGGTCCTAAATAAAACTCCAGTAGCTGTCAATTCTTTTTAACCTTTAATCATTCTAACAACGAACAGAAATCTTGCCTTTCTACACAGCCACCATGCCTGGGATAAGATAGAGTAAAACATAAATAAAGAATTAGAAGAGTGCATCCAGTTAGACTTAAGTTTCCAGTTAGATTAGCAAGAGGCAAAACAGGCATTCTGGCATAATCTGCACCTTATTCAGAAGTTAGGAAGTCTCTGAGCCAATCCCTTCCTCAGGCAGAGTACCTCGTAAATCAATACCAGAGTAGCCTCACAGTCAACCTAAGAGCCTACAGATGGTAAACAGTGACGATAACCAAGAGGGAGGAACCTGCAGATCCCACATCCCCTAGACAGCAGCCTGCGTCTATCAGTGATTATTTCAGGGACAGCTCTCATTAGGGACTTAAAAGGACACTCATCACCAAATAAAGAAAAGAGAACAATGACATGGGTTCTTTCAAGTTTAACCCTAGAATAAAGTACTAGGAATATTTCACCAAAACAGCTTCTATATTAGCAGTGAGACTTTCAACAATGCAAACACCTTTTGAAAATGTAGAAAGTGGGTTACTGTGTGAATTTACCCCAACACCAGAAACATCTGGGTCAATGGTATGGGTATAGAAAACTTACCTTTTATCTCTTTCATGTTCATGCTTTTGAGAGCTTTTCCGGCTTCTAGGAGGTTTTTGAACTGAACAAAAGCGAAACCACGCATCTTTCCATCTGTGTGCAAAAGTAGAAAGAAGTTAGAGGCAGCAGGTAGGGAGCCAACAGACACTAAGAAAGAAGTGACAGCAAACCCAGATGGCCCAAATCCTGCCAACCAGTCAGCCCCTTGCCCAAAGCAACAGCTTATGTCCTGCTGAGCATACCCTGACTCAGGCTTGGGGAAAGCAACGCATTTTCTCAAACTGTAACTCATCTTCTAAAACTAGTTTGATCTAACTAAAACTACCATCAGGAGAATAGCACTAGTATTTGAGTTTTTATTACTTGTCAAGGACTGTGCCTGATACTTTATGTATATCATATCATCTGGGGCTCACAAAGAGTATGACATGAACCTTGTATTTCTACTTCAAATGGCGCTTAGTTCAAAGGCGATAAGGAAAAAGACCATTTTGTAAAATAATCTTAATCTAATCCACAACAAAAGAAGGGTTGCTAGTACCTGGTTTCCTAGGGATGTTTACTTCCAGGACAGCTCCAAATTGAGCAAATATTGTCTTCAAGTCATCTTCTGAACACTGAGGCCAAAAGTGAAGAAAGACAAAGAGAGATTATCACAGCAAATAAACACAAACATCAACTACCAAAGTAGTTCACTAGGAAGAGCCTGAATATTTGCACTCCTTTTTCACTTTTGAGACTAGGACATGGAACATTTCAGAATAGAAGACATCTGGCTTTGTATCTAAAAGGCAAAAAAGACAGATATCAGAGAGCTTTTCTCCCCTCCCTTTCTCAGCAGTAGTTTCCCAAAAAGGAGGGAATCTTCACACTTACTGTCCTTAATAAGGTCTTGTTTATACAGGCACATTTTATTTTTCTTTCTTTTTTTTTTTTTTTTGTGAGGAAGACTAGCCCTGAGCTAACATCTGTTGCCAATCGTCCTCCTTTTGCTTGAGGAAGATTTGCCCTGAGCTAATATCTGTGCCAATCTTCCTCTATTTTGTATGTGGGATGCCACCACAGCATGGCTTGATGAGCACTGTGTAGGTCTGCAACTGGGATTTGAACCCGCAAATCCCAGGCCACTGAAGCAAAGTGCATGAACTTAACCACTATGCCACTAGGCTGGCCCCTACAAGCCCATTTTCTGAATTCAACAAGGTTAAGGTTCATTCCCAGAAGGAAGTAAGCCCAATTACACCATCCTAGTGAGGAGTTCCACCAATGAGCATGCCTTGGCTCCAACAGCCTTCAGAACACACAGTGTTAGCCTTCTCTGTCACTTACCTTAAAGCTCAGGTTCCGAATAATTAATCTGGCTTTCTTATCTGCCACTTTGGTTTTTTTAGGCTTCGGCTCCTTCTTTAGGGACTCTGAATTTTCTAAAAAGTAGGAGGCAATGGAGTAAGTCTGTGCTCCAAGACCACCCACCTCTCGGCCCAGAACACTACAGGAAAGAAGCTACTAGCAACAGATGACATTTACCACAGGGTTAAGTAAAGCAACTCCCAAGAACACCAGACTTTCCAGACTTAGAAGTAACTAAAAGACTAAAACAAGTAACAAAATACACTGGATGACTTAGAACATTAAAAGGAAATTTGGAAAGCTTTAGGTCTAGAAGCTAACCCCAGTGTCACTCTGCCTCCCTTTCACTCTGGGAGAAAACTCCCTTCACTTACTAGAAACTCACCATTTTTCCCCTTTTCCTTGGACTTGTTCCTCAGTTTTTTCTTAGCAACAGTCACGTTGATCTTGCAGCCTTCAAAGGTAGTAACCTCCTTGAGGGCCCTCTGAACATCTTCCAGCATAGAAAAAGTGACATAGCCAAAGCCTCGACATGCCTTACTCCCTGGAACAGTATCGGGGTGGGAGGGAGACGATCGTAAACCAAGAGCCCTAAATCAGTAAATTCTCAAAGTCCTAAACTAGCAGATATACAGCGGGGTGATCCTGTTGTCAGTTTGCCAAAATTCTTAGGAGGGAAAGAAACAAGGTTGGCATCAGTGGCCCCTTCTCCACTTTGCTCACAAATCGTCAGGCTTCCTCTTCTAACCTGGTGTCTTCGCTGTTAGCTCCTCTTCTTCCTCCTTTCCTGATAATCTCAAGGATATGGAGGATCCATGAAACACACTGCAGCTCCAAAGAAGAACTCAACATCAGATAGAACTGAACATCACCAGAGAAGTAAGGAAAGTAAGGTAGCTTCAAAAATTACAATGTAATAATGCAGCCCCTCCTCAGAATAGATCAGCAATGAATGGCTGAGGCCCTGACAAAAGAACCTCAAACGATAAACATTGCTTCGGGAGCCTGCAGATACCATTACCATTATTACCAACCCTTAGCAACCAACATCAAATTAAACTTTCCAAAATGGCTCCAAATCTCTTATCTCACTTTATCTTCAGAACATACCAAGGTAGGTAAAGCGAATATCATCATCCCTTCTTTCCAAATGAATACAGTCATGAGCTGCATAATGATGTTTTGGTCTAGGACTGACTTTACATAAGACGGTGGTCCCATGAGATTGGTACCATACAGCCCAGGTGTGTAGTAGGCTATACCACCCAGGTTTGTGTAAGTACACTCTATGATGTCCGCACAACACAAAATCGCCTAACGATGCACTTCTCAGAAGGTATGCCTGTCATTAAACGACTGCGTAGACACAGCAGCCAGGGAAGCCCCGACTAGCTGAGAGAGTGACATAGTGGGCATTCATGATAGTTGAGAAAATCAAATAAGATAATACATGGAAGACTCAGAACCCATCTGGCAATCAGTTGACTCTCAGTAAGCCTCACTGACGTTTTATTAAAAGTTAGCTACTTTCATTATTACAAAACCTGATCTTACATGTGAGTGCACACAATAAGCGGAAAGCGCTATATAAAGTTAAGGGAATGCTTTGACTTTCAAAAACAAACACCTAAGGACTCATCTAAAGCAGAATCAGTTTAAAAAAGAAACTCAAGGCCCAGTCCCTTCTCTTAGGGGCGGGTAAAGAATGATATGGCTCCGCGAAGTCTGGGTGTCCTCGCCCCCATCCCGCTCCCAGGAACCCCCAACCCTACCCTCGGCCGCCCCGCCCCATACCTTTCTCAGTCACCACGAAGCACTGCTTCACCGGCCCCACCTGACTGAACAGCTCCTCCAGCTGCTCACTGCGGGCCGAGGGCGGGAGGCGGCTCACAAACAAGGTCAGCCCAGCCATGAGGTCGGGAAACCGATGTGCGTGAGGCCGCAAGCAAACCAGGCCGGCGCACGAGAGTCACCGAGTCGCCTTTGCCTGCAGAACACGCCGTGTTGCCGGGAGGCCCCGGAAGTGCTCGTTACCCAAAAGAGTCCGGAGGAAAACGTGGTGGGAAGGGGAAAAAACATTCCGGAATGAAAAAATGGTGACGCCTGGGGGCTGAACTTGATTTGGGCTCCACCCCTAGTCCAAGTACCTCCCCCTGCCTCTGTAGGGAAACTCGATTTCGCTAGTTCCTACTCTGCTTAAAATCGCACTTTCAGGACATCGATCCCAAATTCACCAGGGCAGGCAGGAGAAGTCGTTTTTGCTGGCCTAACCAAGGATCGGACATACAACGGATGTTTAATAAATATTTTCCGAGGTGCCGCCCAGTCTCTCAGATTACATGCATGAAACAGCCAGAATGCAAATAGACACAAGTATATCACATACATCATTCGGACATTTCTCACGTTCTCAGAAAATATGAGACATCTGTCAGACTGTAATAGATAACTGTAACTGTGCCTGTAACACTCCGCAAATTATACCTACTAAAGTACATGTAGACACAGATCGCACACGATCATTCTTTCGATAAGTATTTCCTGAGCTTTTACTATGTGCCAGGCACTAGGGATAAAATTGGTGAGCTAATAAAGACAGGATCTCTGCCCTCATGAAGAATATAGTCTAGTGGGGGTAGAAAGACATTAATCCAAAAAAAAAATCTTACAAATAAATCACAGCACACACACTGCAAGATCACATAAGGACACACCCAAAGCAAACATAGCATCCAGCTTATACAAACAGACCTAGAACCCAGGTCCCCCCAGAGACAGGAGAAGATCTTCTCTCAGGTCAGTTTATCAGACAGACCCAAGATTGAGGGATCTCACTGGCCAGGAGGAGATCTGGGTGCTCCTGGATCCTGGAACACAGAGAGTGTTTACCATCCCACTGAGCTCTGGCACCGACCTATGCGCAAGACTGCAGCGTCCTGCAGAATGTCCAGCTGAAAAGAGTACCCAATGCATTTTTAAAATAATTGTTTTTAAATGGTATAACCTGAACATATGGTAAGTAGAAAATTGAAAAAGTACAAAATGTACAGTGAAAAGTTTCCCTTTCTCCTCAAATCCAAGCCACTTTCAACACATTTTGGATAGATGGATGACTGGTTGATAGTGATGGGGGCAGGGAGGGAGAATGGTAAACATCATATTTGTGAAGCCTTAGCTCCAAGTAAGTAACAAGTGCTTAAAAGAAAACGCCACAGTTATTTTTAAACACATAACTCAGGAAAGGAAGTACTGAAATACAAAACAGATTTTTAAGGCTATGGGGTTACTCCTATCCAGGATAAAGAGAGACAAATATACAAAGGAAATGGGATGGGTTATTTGAATAAAGTTGGTATGGGATTCCACATTTCTCCCTCTTTTTTCTCTTCCTGTCTTGCCCCCTCACCATCTTAGAAATCAAAATTAATTCCAGCCCCAAAGACTAAATTGCAAGCTTCAGGGCCCTAGCTATGGGAAGGCCTTCCCAGTCCTGGCTGCGGGGTGCACAGGGAAGAGAACCCTGAGAAGGCTGTTCCGACATCCCTTTGGGATACCTCCTACAATGCTAAATTTTAAATGCTTCGGACTCAAATCTTCCTTAAAGGACAAAATGAAACTGTCCCTGTGCCCATCAGGGGGCAGCAGCCACCCACAGTGTGGAGGAGCTCTGTGCCCCTAGGTGGGGATAACAATGCAGCTGACCCTTTCTATACTTCCCAAGTTTCAGACCTGGCTCCCCATCTCGGTCTCCTAGCCTCAGTTTCAGCCCCAGCCCCTCCTATCTATTGAGGCCACGTGGTTCTTAAGTCAGGAATATTTGCTCATCCATCTACCCAGGACACATGCAGCGTTCTTTATTAAATAGCAGGAGTCGTGGTACACTGCACCACACCAGCAACGTGGCTTCCAGGGGAAATAATCTGCTGGCCTCTCCCTCATCCATCACTGTGCAGGAGCCTGGAAAGGAAATAAGAGAGGCCTGGGTTGTGCTCAGCCAGCTTCTCCCAGGCCCCATCCCTCAGGCTCCACTCCCCCTTGCAAGCCAAGCCGTGTTCTAACACCACATACATCTTGCTCTTAGCACTTTTCACAATTGTAATTAGTTTCTTGTGCTATTTTAGTTATTTGTGTGACTAGTTGTTTAATATCTGCCTTCCCCAAAAGACTTTCAACTTCATAAGTTCAGGGCTAGTATCCGCCTCATTCAGCCTTCAATCCCCAGCACCTAGCACCTTGTAAGCATTCTATACAATGTTTTAAAGACATTGAATAAATGAAGGTGAGTTTGTTTCTCAGTCGCATACAATACGAAGAATTGGAACCCAAGGATGTACACATTAGGATCTACCTGGACTCCTCTGAGGAACCTGCTTTGGGTAAGAGCTGAGGCATGAGACAAAAGGGAAGGATTGTCTCACCAATCTCGGCCTGTTTATTAAGTCAAAGGGCTGAGGTAATTCTTGCTGAGGAAAATCAAAGAAGTGTTGGAGCTGGGGAACACTTAGCTGTATTCCTTCGCCCCCCTCCCCATCTCACCAGCCCCGTTCAGAGCTTCCAGACAGAAAAGGAGTGTGTGTGTGTGTGTGTGTGTGTGTGTGGGAAGAGAGAGAGACTGACTGGGGGCATGTGGGCCTTGGACTACTTTGTCAGGAGGTGTGTGCATGAATCCCAGGACCCTTGATGGAGAGAGTGAATGAGCAACAGCAGCTGGCAAGGATTAAGGTGAGGAAGAGATGGCAGAGAGGAGTTGAGTGTGAGCAGAGGCAGATGACAGGCAGATGGAAGAATAAGTGGGGAAGAAAGAGAGCAATTTCTCTGAGCAGCAAGCACTCCTTCCATGACACAAAGCAGCTCCGATGCTGGACCGCTACAGCCACTACGACACCAGTGAGAAATGCCTGTAATTAGGAGGCTGGCAGTTCTCTGGGCCTCAGCCCAGAGTGACAATGCAGAAAGAATTTCTGAGCCAAGCTGAGCCAGGTGATGGAGGAGACACAGTCAGAACCACTCTAATCCCATCCCTCGGCCGTGCCTGCACCACCCTCTTCTCATTTCTCTTCCCTACCATGACGCTCACTCTCCCCCAAACATCAGTGACTCCCCTCCTCCTTCTGAGGGCCCAGGCCCTGGATGCTCCACTCAGCCAAGACAGATCTTCACGTGCAAGGAGAGCAGTGCTTTAATTCTTCCACTAGTGCGACGGACCTCATCTGGCCAAAGGCCTCACCCCCTCCCAGCCTCCCTGCCTGTTTCCCTCACCTCCCTTCTCAAAACCCCTGGAGCTGATGGGCAGAGTTGGAAGAAAAAACACTCCTATTCCTGTTTCTCCACTTCAAGCCTAGTCTGTGTGCCCCTGCAGGTCTCCCTGTGATGTGCAAGACAGCTGCCAAAACACTGCTTGATTTTCGTTTTCAAACCTAATCTACAACCCTGTTTTAGTGCCACTCTGAATTTACAGCATTTTAGCCAAATGACAAATGCATACTACAGAGCTCAGAGCCAAACGCTCCAGACAAGGGAGGGATTACAGAGCAGTTGGCAGCCGGATGTGGTCCTGGTTTTCTGCACTGTGTGTTCTGCTTTGGTAGGTCGGATGGGACTGAGGTTTGGGGAAGACAGATTTTCTCCAGGGAGGATGTGCACCTATGGGAGATGTGTGTTCTGCAGGGGAAGGGGGAGTTGTGAGTCTAACCTTGAAGAGGTTCTGTTGTTGGATGGAGAAGTTTACTCCATGAACCTCAAACTTGTGGGAACATGGTAGAGGTGTTGCTGGGCCTCCCAGCTCAAGGTGATCAAGCCCTTGACACATGTATCAGGAAGAACTTTACCACTAACTAGTCCCTAGGCTGCTGTCCACCAAGACTTGAAGCCAGACTCTTAGGAACACAGACATTTCCACCAATGACTGCAGAGTTTCTGCTTCACCCCTCGGGGCCATGTACCACCTCTGAAAAGCCACTTCCCAGAAAGTCAGAATGGTCTTCAGGGGGCCACTTTCAGGACACTCACTCATCCCAGCCACTGGATAAGATTCTTTGCAGTCAGGAGCGAAGGTCACTGGGGTCTGAGATGGACCCACCCCACCCAAACGCTGCTTCTCTTCCAGTTCTGATGAACCACCGCTGCTGTTGCCTCATTGAGCTTTCCCAAGAAAGTCAAACCTTTCTCCTCTGAAAATATTTTATTGATAAATTAACTCCGAAAGCGTTCACCTCCCACCCAACTGCTGTGAAGTCTGCTAGATGGGCCACAGACCCTTCTATGGGAAAGAGTCCCATGGAGGACAGGGAGTCTCACTCACGCAGGGATGGGATTCCTGGGCATGGCAGAGGTGGGTATGGGGACTGAGGCCAGTCCCGAGGTCTTCTGAAGACAGCCCCTCTCACTCAGCACCAGAGTGGGGAGTGGTGGTCAGGAGTGGAGCACCTTGGAGCTTTATTGCTGGTGAATGCCAAGGAAAGTGGGACCCCTGCCAGCCTAGGATTGCAGCTGAGGGCATCACGCCCAGGGCTCCAGAGAAGGTGGCACTAATTCCCAATCGACAGAGCCTGGCTGCTGACCCACCCACCCAGGGGCCCCTGGATGGGGAAGGAAGCGGGGAGAGGTATCTGAGCCAGGCGGGATTGGGGAAGGGTTACAGTGTGCAGGTCTCAGGCGGAGCAGGCGCCAGAAGGGGGCGGATGGCTGGGACAGCGAGGGGGCCCCCTCTTCATAGGTCTATGGTGTCGCTGCCCATGCTCAGCTCGTCGATCTGTCGGCAGGCGTCCAGGAATTGCTCCTGCAGCAAGGCCTCTTCGGCCTGTAGCTCAGGAGCAGGCTCCGGAGAGTCGTGGGAAGGTGGAGACAGGGCCTGGTAGGATCCTGAGGCCGGGAGGCTAGGGCTGCTCCCTGAGGGCCTTGGGGGACTGAGGACGCAGACCAGCGGACAGCGGGGGGGCCTGTCCGGGCTGGAGCATAGCAGCATGGACGAGCTGTCCCGCGAGAGTCCGCACAGCGAGCCGGATGAGGCACTGCTGCCCGCGGGCCAGGCCCCG